TAATGCGGTCGTCGAGTGTAATTATTGCCCCAATAAACACAGATGAATAGGTAAATTAATGCTGACATGTACTAAATTAATGAATTGTTTTGTTTGGCAAATGGAATTGATCATAATCTATGCATAAAGTCCCGTAAATTCTCTTTTATATATAGTGTTTACGAAACGATGAAGCAATTTTTCACCGAAAGACAGCAAAGAAGACTCTTAAATTAGTGATTTATTATGTCTGCAACATTTTCTTCTGTTATATTTTTTAATTGTGACTTTTTTTAATTAATATGAATTCTTTTTTGGACTCTGTGAAATCTGAAACGATTTTTACTACTTTTCAGATTTAGTAGTAGTTGCCAATTCACAAATAAAGCGCAATTATCCTCTTTGCTGCGCCAACTGCCAACAACTGTATAAATGTCACAACCTGCGACATGCAATTACAGCAGAATTGGCAAAGATCATCCAGCAGCTGTCATGTTATTTGAGTAAATTGAAATTATGACACGGCTAATTGTCGTAACGTTTATCTATTAATTAAAACCTCCATCTTCATCATACATTTTAGATAACTCCATTGTTTGCTCTCGGTATTTACAAATCACGCTTTGGGCCATAATATAATCTTGCTAACTTTATTCCGAGAGATTTTTAATAGGAACGGGACTGTTTATGAGGTTTTCAACGTTTACCGCCAAATTAGTTTTTGAAAATTCATATACCTGAAAAGTTTTCTCTACATTCTTTTAATATGTATTACCCGTGAAGCTCAAAGTAAACTAATTTAATTGCAAAGTTCTACAAAAAAATTGCTTTTATACAAAGTAAAAAGCGTAAGTAGGATCAGCTTTCATACATTCGTGATAAAAAACAAGCGCATCTCTACTTGAATAAATACTTCACCGTGATGTGCTGATGTTTCAGTTTCACGTTTTTATAGTCAAATGAAAGGTCATGCCCATCTCAGGTATACAAATTGTCGTAAGTAGAATGTTTATGTATGAGCGGTGCATTGGAGAATTTTATTTGAAACCGAAGTAATGAACACTAGAGTTTGCGTCACTAAAGTTTTAATTTACTTGTCTAGGGGAACCACAGAAAGTAGTATTTATTTAGTAGTGCAAAGTTTAAAATCCAGAAACAAATACAAGTACATATATCAATGCACATATTGTGACCGTATTATGAGAATAATTATACTGTTAGACCCTAAAAAATTCACAATTTTGCTTTTCAAGCACAAGCTAAGGAAGTAGGATCGTAGTATGGTCCATCCGGAGACTAGCTACTTTCATGTTTTCTCGACGTTTCGGGACCCATAGAGCATGAAAAAATAGGTGTACCATTTCTATGTGGTCTACCGTTTGTCTGTCACCTGTCCGTCGTCTGTCCGTCGCCTATCCGTTGTCTATCCGTAGTCTGTATCTTTGGTGTTTGTTATCTGTGTCGATCGTTATTAGATAGATAACCTTCAAAATTACTGGATCGATTGTTGACACAAAAAAGTAGAAATTTTTTCACATTCCATGGCCAGCTATTAAAGAAAATATTTTTACAGACAAAGTATAGGTCACCTGAGTAGCTACATGAATTCTCAAAATATGAAAAGTACCGAAAATCCACTTACCACAACTTCATGACGACGAAATGGAAGTAGGTAATTTTCACCAAGAGGGGATTACAACGCCTTCAAAAAATGTTATTTAACAAATCTCACATGAAGCATTCGCATACCATGCTCCTTTACTTGTAGTTTAATAATCCAGCCCAATTTTTATTTTAACGTGTAGGGGTTATCATAAAAAAATTCTTCATTAACATAACATTGTATTGCAGAGTTTTGCTCCCCAGTAATGTATATTTTGTTGTACATTACTGAGCATGTAAGGCGGTGATAGGGCACTCTCAGCAGATTGGCATTTCGGGTGTTTTTGTTGTGAAAGACATCATTTTTCTTAAACTGGCCTGGGTGAGTATGCACATACTTAATGTTATGGAGTACATACGTAACAGAGACGGTATTTGCTCCTTTTTAAAGTAATACTTGCAACTTTCTCTTTGTCTAAGATTGTTCATGATTCTAATAGCTTTTTTGCAGAATGAAGACCCGTTTCATAGCTTCAGTATTTGCTCCCCATAATAATATACCATATGTGGCTATTGCATGGAAATTGGCGTAGTATACTATTTTGACCGCTTGGTGAGTTGATATTGTCTTTATTCTTCGTATGCTATATAAAGTTGTTGCGAGTTTGTTTGCCATTTCACTTATATGTGTATTCCATCTCAAACTGTCTTGGATTTGTAGTCCCAGAAATTTGATGGATGAGTTGGATGTAGTGGTTGAAAAAGTAAGACTTTGTGTTTTGTCTTCGTTTAACTTCAGCCTATTGTTATTGAACCAATTTCTGCTTCTTTTATGACAATGTTTTTCTTTGATAGTCTTTTTCTTCTCTCGCTGCTTTAATAATGAATGAGGTATCGTCTGCGTGGGGACATGCTGAGTTACAGTTTACGTTTTTTAATAAATCGTTTACATATTTTTTTAAAATTTTAATAACAGGGTTGGCCCAACCACAGACCCCTGCGGTACACCACACGTAACAGGAACCTTTTGAGAACTTTTATCTCCCCATCGTGCTATTTGTTGACGTCCTTGGAGGTATGATTCTAAGAGTCGTAGAGCATTTCCTCTCACTCCGTACCAGTGTAATTTCTGTAGAAGTATACTATGCGGTACTGCATCAAATGCCTTGCTCAAATCACACGATACTAGTTCCACCGTTTCTTTGTTATCTAAGGCTGATATTACTGCGTTCATTATATTTAGTACTGCAGTACTTGTGGACCGTTCCTTCCTGTATCCATTTTGTTCATCACAGAAGATAGCATTTTTTTCGAAATATTTCATTAGTCTTTTGTTGATAGCTACTTCAAATACTTCAGACATAGTGGGAAGAATAGATTGGTAGGTAACTATCGTAAGACCTGTTATCGTTGTTCTTTTGCAGTCTTTAGTTCATTAATAAAGTACCCTTCAACAAACACTGATTAATAAGGATAGTTAACGGTGGAACTATCTCGTTTACTATGAGGCAACATGTAGCATGCGGCATTGACGCATGCTACACACAATCTTTCCATAGAAGGAAGACACAGCGACATTAATTGAAATTTTGTGCCACATTGTCGCACGCCTACAACAAGCAACACTAGGCAACAAGTATCAAGCAACATGTCGTTCAGTGTTGCCTCAGTGGAATTCCGACTTTACAAATCACACACAAATTAAAATATAATTAAAAATAAACTAAAACCTCTATTGAATTTCACTATACAGGAAGTCTTCTACACTATATGGTACGATGGTCAAAGTACCCTTCAGCAAAATACTGATTAATAAGCATAGTTAATGGTGGAACTATCTCGTTCACTACCGTTTTTATTAGATATGTCGAAACATCATAGATGTCTCTTGTAGTTTTTGACTTTAATGACATGATGATTTTCGTTATTTCTTCTTCACTTACCGGATTCAGAAACATGGAATGAGTAGTATTAACTTTTTGTTTTCTAAGTAAATCTAGGGGATGTTGCTCCATTTTTTTCAGGTATGTATTAAAACCTTCGGCATTTAAGTTTGAGCGTTCTTTGGTTGCCGCTTTGCTATCACCGTTGATGATTTCCCATATTTTTCTTGTTTTATTTGATGCACTAGAAACATATTTTCTTCTCTGATCTTTTCTTGAATTTTTTTTTAAATAAATTTGTTTGTAGCAGTTGTAGGCTTTCCAGTATTCCTTACCTCTTTTAGAAGTAACGATTGCATGTAGTGCTTTCAGGATTTTTTTCATATCCATTAATTCTTGCGAATGCCAACATTTATTAAATTTGTTACTTTGTGATTTAATAGTTTTATCCTTTTCAGGGAAACATATATCAAATAGCGACATCCATAGAGAGTCAAATGCTACGTATGCCTCAGGAGCATGTTTTTGACATAAGAGATGACTCCAATCTACTCAAACAGATAGGACTTGAAACGGTAAATATTCTCTTTTCGTATATTCCTAACATTTATTCTTTGTTTCTTACTTTTAGGTTCTTGAATGCTATTCTCAACTACCATAAGTTGTTGCTGGTGATCCGATATGAACCAATTCAAGGTTGTATAGGTGTAGTATTTATTCTCTTTACCAAATATATTGTCGTTACAAGTTGCTGTTGTTTTTGTAACTCTAGAAGGTTCGCTGAATTGGGGTTGCAGTCCAAATTTTTCTAGTAATTCTGCAAGAGCTCATTTTTCGGAACTGTCCTTTAAAAAATCGACATTAAAATCCCCCGCTATATAGACATTGCCATATGAATATAATTCATTAATTATGTCTAAAGCATCGTTTAGTGCCTCTAGAAAAACATTTAAGTTTCCAGATGGTGATCTGTAGGCGGCTAATATTACAGATTTATTAGAATCTATTCTGATGGTCGTTAGTTCCGCGTTTTTTCTTCAGATATTTTTGTTACTTGTGTGATTTCAGTTGCTCTTAAACTGTCCTTTATTAAAATTAGCACACCACCATGAATGTAACGACTTCTACAAAAGTGGCGACTGACTTTATACCCAGAGAACTTTAGGGCTGTCATTTTGTGGGTACTAAACCAATGTTCAGTAACAATGGCTATGTCAATATTGTGTTGCATCATTTCATAGTTCAATAAAAACTGTTTTTTGTTGAAGGAATTGAATATTAATATTTCGTTTACCTTTATTTTTAAATGTTTAATTTTCTACAGTGCTTCGATTGTTTTGAAATATAATTTACACCAGCGATTCTCAACATTAGAAGGGGGGCACGAGCAAATAAGAAAATATATTTTTTAGAAAAAATAAAGTATAATTAAAAAAATAATAAATATATTACTACAAAAAATTAAATATATTGTTAAAAAAGTAAATAAAATTCATTCTGAATAATTAAATAAAAATGCAGCAATAGTGATGATCATTAGTGACTCCCTTGAGCCTGTTTAGCCGCACAAAGCTTTTCGAAACGCGGTTTAATTTGAGAAATTGACACTCCAAGTTCTTTCTCTACATTCAACCAAGATCTATATTTTGTCTTCAATGCAGCCATCGTAGAAAATCCGGTTTCACAAAGGTACGATGTTGAAAATGGTAATAGTATACGTAGCGCTCTTGTTTTCAGCGCAGAGAACTCATTATCCAAGCTTGCCCAAAATTCAAAGAGTGGTTTGTTACTAAATTGTCTTTTGATTTCGCCGCTTGCCGGGAAGCCTATGAACATTTCTTCTACAGCAGTTGAAAGGCCGTCAGGAGTGTTTTGAAATGGATCCCCAACCCACTCGCAACCTGCTAGCAAATTCTCATCAGCAAAAAAATACTTTGTAAAATTCTTTGCCAGCATGGCTAGATGATTTTCAATGGTTACAAAAACAACTTTCATATGAGTTGTTTTTTGCTTTACATTTCTGTTCCACAATTCCAATTTTCTACAGAAAGCAGTAACTTTATCACTAGTATCCAACATATGTGTGTTTGCTCTTTGGAGTTGAAGATTCAAAATATTTAATTTCTCGAAAATATCGACCAAGTAGCTCAATTTTATAACAAATTAATAATCTCGACACTTCTCGACTTCCAGTCTGTGTTCCTCTACTAAATCAATGGCGATTTCCTCTCTTAACTCATAAACACGTTGCGAAAATCTTCCACGTGACAACAATCTTGTCCCGCAATAAAAAAATAACGATGAATGTACTGCACCCATGTCTTTGTAAAGTTCAGAAAATAATCTGATTTTTAAGAATCTCATTTTTATATAATTTACTGCTGTCAGAACCGTAGTTACTACAATATTCAAACCAGGACTCATTTCCTTGGAAGCCAAAGCTTCTCTATGGATCATGCAATGCGTCCAAACCCACTGTGGATATTTTTGTTTCACAAGTGTTTGCATAGGTACTTTGGAATTTTCCAGACATTGCACGAGCACCATCGGTGCATATTCCGACGCAATTTTTCCATTCTATGTTTCCTTCGTTTAGAAAATCATTTAAAGTAGCAAATAATGTAAGTGCTGTTGCTTTGAGTTCTGTTGGTTTGCAGAAAAGCAGTTCTTCTACTGCTGAGCGCCAGCACAAAATCGAACATAGGCAATTAAATGAGCATCTTTAATGCTATCTGTTGCCTAATCAAGCTGAATTGAAAATAATTTATCATGGAATTTCTCAAAAAGCAGATGCTGTACATCGTTAGCTATATCACCAATTCGATGTCATTTGATAAAGGTACAAACTTTAATTGTTTGGTAAAATTATCTCCAAACATAGTTTCTACAATTTCAATTGCAGCTGGTAGAATAAGTTCTTCGCCAATGGTATCCGGCTTTTTACATATCGCTATATGAAACTTTGTACGATCCAAGTAAAGCTTTTTCATTTACAAAGATTTTTTTTTTTTGCTTTTCAAATGATTTCAATTTTAATTCGAAAATTTGTCGAGGTTTAATAACAAATTCACTATGAAGCGTTTCCAAATGGCGTTTAAGTTTATTAGGTTTCATGCTTTCTGCTCCCAAAATTTTTGAGCAAATTTTTGAGGGGGGGGGGCGCGATAAAAACTGTTATTGGTAAATGGGTCGTGAAGACTAAAAGGTTGAGAATCGCTCAGTTGTATTGTCAATTATCAAGAATACCTGAATACAGTATTGTTGGATCAAGAATTCTCAGGCTACCGGCAATTGGCCAGTTTCAGTAAAACGCAGCAACTTTACTAGTCAAATTTGCATATGCGTTAAATTGTCTGAATAAAATTTCATAGTATCAACAATTTATTTTTTCTTCAAACGTCAAAAAAACATGACTTTATGTACCTCAACAAATGAACTTAAAGTATGACATTTCAGCCGCTCCTCACCACCGACAGATAAAAATTTTTGCTGCCGCTACAGGCGGCAGCAAAAGTAAAACCATAGCAACAGCATACAAATCATTCCAAAGCACACTGAAAAACCATAGTAACAGTTAACTTAATTCATTCGTTTTAAAGAATTGATATGTAATTCCATTTTTTTAAATTACTTCTCTAATTGAATTGCAGACGTTTGAAGAAAAAATAGCATGTTTTATTCGGAGAAAAATGACTTTTCGTGGCTCATCTGTAATTGCCGGCCTCGCGCGCTCGGCCGTCAAACCTACAGATTCGCCACGAAAAGTCTCATTTTAGCTCCTAATAAAACAATATACTATTAGTATGCGAAAAGTATCTAAATACATGTATCAAAACATTGCACAGCAACATTTGGTAACAGTTTAGAAACTGAGAGAATGTAAAAGTGTTTTTTCACTAAACGTGCTGATGCTTGTAAATTTACGTGCTTTATGAGTATATAACCATTGTTGTGGTTAATGTTGGATTCCTTATAATAATCAGCAAGACAGAAGCATATAAACACTTGCTGAATCGAAATCTATTGACTGCAATATGACGAAAGATGCAATTATGTGAAAAATTACTTCTTAAAAATTTTCACAGACGAAGTCAAATTACTGAAAACAAAAACACGTTTTGTTTCTTTGGAAAGTGAAGTTGTTTTATTTAGAGAAAAATTGTGTACACAACTTTAGTTCAGAAAACAACATTTTCTCTTGATAATCAAGGGTGTTTTCAGTTTTTAAGGGATATACGTATAATAAACGACGTATATAAAAACTTTTCCATTTACAAATAACTTGTTCTTAAGTTTTAAAGAGCTAATAATGAGGTATTACAAAATCAAAAAAATCACACTTCAGGCTATGCTGCAAACTATAAGATTTCCAGACTGCTTTCATAAGCTAATGAGGAACATAGGTAACAACAAAACCTTTCCTACAAAAAATCTTAGTCTTGATAAAAAATGTATATTGTTACGATGATCGATGGGTAAAACTCAACAATTTATTTCTTTGTAACTCGAATTTAGACGACTAATTACACAGCGATTGTGTACAACATAATTCCGGCGAACTTGACTCGCTTTTCAACATTTACTGGACTCGACTCGTTAGCTGAATAATACTCCTCGTTCTCGAAAGCGGCTTCTATTTAAACCCATAATCTCCTTCTAGAAGTTCCGTCATCAAGGTCTTTCTGGAATACCCATCGCGATTTCCGCTTCCAAGCTTTTCTTTAGCGAACGCCGCCCGGCCAACGTCACCGACGATGAGTCACCCATTATCGCCGCACATACTAGAAAACACATAGGCGTCGTACCGGGGCGGCGTTAGGGTTTATTTCGTAACAATATTTTAAAAACATGGAAGTCTGAAATTAAGAAGGTTTGATTCACACAAACAAATCTATAAAATGAATATACGAATAGCGGTAGACACACATACATTTTTAGGATCAACGTAGGTACTGTCCTTACTAGTTGTCACTGTTTCTTAAACACGTCAATCAAAATTTCACAAATGAAATATTAAAAAAAAACATCAACATATTAATTCAAAGAAATCTAATAAACAAATTGAACAATTAAATAAATTTAACTAGCGTAAGTACTGTTCAAAATGCCTTCCTTCCTGTCCAACACCCATTTCGATGCGATTTAAGCAAGACAACCTGACGCGGGCAAGTATTTCTGAAGTTATTGCAACACATGCATTTCTAATTCTGGTTTTTAAATCTTCACAATTACGAATAGGACTTTGGTAAACTTGTTCTTTGACAACCCCCTTTACAATCTAAAAGTGTTAAGTCGGGACTACGAGGGGGGCATGCCTTCGCACTGCCTCTGCCAATCCACTTATTTGCAAACGTCTCAAACATTTTCTAATAACTCCGAAAAATTATTTTCCAAAAATTGTCGATACCTGTGTCCTGTTAAGTTGGCTTTGAAGAAGTATGGGCCAATTACGTAATCTGCAGTATACCAGCCCACATATTTATGGAATAAACATTATGAAAATGAGCTGGTCTAATCCAGTCTGGGTTATTTTGGGAGTAATAGTGACAGTTATGGCAATTAACAACCCCATTATTGCCAAATCTTGCTTCATTGATGAACAAAACTTCGAATAAAAACTTGTTGTCCAAGTTGCATCGAATTGCAAAATTGTATTCTTCTGGAAAAGTCTTCTTCTTTTAGATCTTGTACTAATGTCACATGGTAAGGGTGGAACTTATTCCCTCTCAAAATTTTTGAAACGGAAAATTGAGATATTCCTACTTGTCGTGCTATAAATTTTTGACTCACATGCGGGTCATTGTCTACGGCTTCAATTACAAGAATTTTGTCTTAACATTTTTTCTAAACATCTAAAGATTTGGTCGGATGAATGTCGCCAATCTTCTTTCGTAGTACTGCTGCAGGGGCATTTTTTCCGCATTCTCCAAAAATCAAGATCGTATCAACTTTTTCACCGTTGGTGTATTTAACCCTGTGGTGACCGAATTTAAATAAAATTTTCGCGCTGAATTTAATTAACAGCGGCGCGAAATCACATTTGATAATTTGAATTTGAAAGAAAAAAAAAATCATCAAAAAAATCGTTAAACATAGGTAACCAGGTGCACGGTAACGCTTGTTGGATAGTTGGACAGTTAGCAGCGCTAGGGGATTTTAGTTAGAGGGTTGGTTGTTAAACAGAGGACAGCATACCGAAGCGTCAGTCTGGATGTGTTTTGGGCAGCATACCTAAGCATCAGTCTGGATGTGTTTTTGTGAATGGAAAAACGTGGCAAGAGCTAGTTTAAATTAGTTGGTTTGGTAGTTAATAAAAGGGAGGAGGCCTTTGTTTAACGACAATCAATCGTAACCGACGGCGCCCAGTTTTCCCAATCCGCGCGGGATTTTAATCGGAAAAAGTGCGGACTTTCGTTCAACGCGAACCACGTGGCGTCATTTTTTTTTTATTGTTGTAAATTCACAGTTCGGGCTAGAAGTTAATCGTCAGCTAGTGCTAACACAATTTAACAGTCAGGATTATTTAAATAAACCACTTACTAGGAGATTTCATGAAATTCATTTAGTCAGGATAATAATTCTTTGTTTAACAAATTATAAATAAGTTTCTGGATGCATATGTGTAAGTGTAATATTATAACACTTCTTAATTCTTCACACAAGATTGCTAATAGTCATTTGCGGCAATTAAATTGACAAAATTCATACCACGAACTGACGAGGGGTTAAAATAATTTCTTCACATAGACGGTTATCGTCGTTATTATCACCGTTATCACGATTACATCACCGAGGCATGCCGTCACAATCCTAAAGATTGATTACTTCATCGAGGCATGTCTTCGCAACGATATAGATTGACTTCATCACCGGGGCATGCCCTCACAACGCTACAGATTGATTACTTCATCGAAGCATGTCCTCGCAACGCTAGAGATTGATAACATCAACGAGGCATGTCCTCGCAACGCTAGAGATTAATAACACCATCGAGGTGTTTCCTTGCAACGATAAAAATGTCAAATCACTTCGATTACGACATAATTTACCATAATGTAAACAGTTTATTTGAATCGTTGATAAAGTGTGGCAAAAATAAATCTCATGTAAATTTTGTTAATTTTACAAATTTTCACCTCATACAATATTTCTCAATCTCACAGTGTTAACCTCAGTAAATTTTCTTTGTTGTATAATTTTAATTGAACGTAAATTTCCATGATCTGCAGTTTTAAAATCACATAATGATTTTATTTGCACAAGTTTATTTCACACCAGATCTTTTGTTTTTATAAATCTTTGCTAAGTTTTGTTTTGTAAATATTTTGTTGATGAATTATTTGTTGTTTAAAATTTCACAAAATTGTATGACGAATTTAAATATTGTTTACTGCTCTTTCAAACTTTAACACTCGTTCAGTTGTTGTTAATTTCAGAGTCATAAGAAATTGAACATTTAAAATGGAATTGAGATTAAATAACACAGAAAACGTGGCAGAAACGAAGTGCGGTTCCTAGTCGAGCTGACGAAATTTATCGCGTCACCT